GTTTCGGTTTTGGTTTTTTTTTTTTTTAATTTATGTAGTTCAATCTGGCCTTGAACTCATTGTGATCCTCTTGCCTCAGCCTCCTGAGCACTAGGATTACAGGATCAGTTCCCACTTAACTCTTGAAAGAGGGTTTCAAAATTAAGCACAGTGAAGGGAGGGCAGGGATAAGGTCATGTAAAGGTACAAGATCCTAATGATGAATGTAACTGTATTGTATACCTAAAATGTACCAATAAATTCAATGAAGAAAAAACAACAAACAAACAAACAAAATGAAGTACAGCCAGGCTGCTGATCTTTTTTTTCATTTTTTTTTGTTTTGTTTTTTTGAGACAGGGTCTCACTTTGTAGTTGAGACTGACCTGGAATTCACTATGTAGCCCAGGCTGGTCTTGAACTCACAGCGATCCTCCTGCCTCAGCCTCCTGAGTGCTGGATTACAGGCATAAGCCACCACACCCAGCTGGGCTGTTGATCTTTACTGTGTAGCTGCTTGTGCAAGGCCAAGGTGAGGTTATACCACCATCCAGGTAGGTGGGCTGTGGCTGGCATGGCATGTTCCCATTGTAACACCTGGTCCTATGCTGTGCGCTGAGCTACTGCTGCCTCTTCCAGGATGGCTTCTCAACAGCAGCCTCTGCTCTGTCTTAACCACTGCCTCTGACCCATGGAAAATGGAGCCACCCCTCTGTGCCATAGAAGGGTTCAAAATGCCTGGTGGGCTGGGGAGGTGCAGCAGGCACTCTCTCTTCCCGCCCTGCGGAGAAGGCGTTGTGTCTAGCCACTACCTGGACACAGCCAGAGAAGTATTCTCATTAGGGAGTGACATGTACAATGTCAAGGCAGGAAGCCACCAGCCTTGCGTGTAGATGAGGAAGGCTGGTACAGCTGCAGCAGCACAGGGACGTGAGGGCCTCACTGCTCTGTCTGGGGTACCAGCTCAGTGTGAGGGCCCTTTGCATCCTCCTGGCCCTGCAGAAGCTGCCAGGGGCACATGCCTGCCCCATTCAGTGATGGGGCCACAGGCTCATTCACTTAGATGCATCTGGTCCCCTTTGTTCTCTTTCAGTGGAGCAGGAAGCAAGCCTGTCTTGCTCAAGGCACAGGGGCAGGACAGTGGTGCCCAGTGAAGCACATGGGGCACTTCCTGTGGGAATGGACCACCTGCCCCACATCCTGCCCTGACCAAGCAAGGCCCCAGCAGGTGTCTTGGCCCATGGAGGTGGGGGAAGGGAAATCCAGACTACAGACTGAGACCATGAGGATGGGGACAGTGAAGGAAAGGAGCTGTGGGACAGGGGCCAGGAATGAGGGCATCAGTCCCCAGGCTAGGTGAGCGCGGTGAAGCCCTGGCTGGGGGAAGAGCCTGTGTTTCAAATTCCTTGGAGCTGGGGATGGACAACTTCAAGCATGGAGTTCCGCCTTGGCCCATCAGCCCAACAACCTTGGTGCATGGGTAGAAAGGAAGGAGGCAGTAGACTGCAAGGGTAGAATGATGGGAGAGATCCAGCCTCCCAGCCTGGCCACGGACCAGCTTTATTATATGTGTGGCAGCCAGCCTAACGTGCCTGCTGTCCAGGGACTCCGCCCTGCAAGTCCCCCAGGCCTGGCGCTGGCAGTTGGCAGTGAGCAGACCTTGGAGTCCCTCTCAGGTCCTGTACCAGTGGTTCTGGGGGTCTCTCAGGGTCTCTGGAGGTGGGGCTGATGGCAATGGAGTGTCCAGGGCCTGTCTGCGGATGAGCTCAGCATACAGCCCACCTTTCCTCAGGAGCTCTTCGTGGGTCCCAGCCTGCAGACAGGAGGAGGGCCTAAGGGTCACCCAGACATGCCCGTTCAAAGCCTGGGAGGGTGGCCTCCCTCACCAGCTATTAGGTTCATGGTCACGTAAGCCAATTTCCCTTATGGAGACCCTTGGAAAGGAAGTGCCTTGGGCATAGCAATCTACTCAGTGCTACCTCCTTGCGCAGGGGAGGTCTGAAGTATACCCGGCAGCTCCTGTGTCCCTGGGTTCACATGCTATCCCAGGAGCTGCTCCTGTCTGGTCCCTCAAGGTCCCCGGTGCAGCTTCTCTATGCCTCAGCCCCTAGGTAACCAGCTCTGTTTCTAGAGCTGCCTACTTTCCCCTTGGCTCCTGGAAGGCTCTGGTATAGCTGGACTATCCTGGGCTCAGGAGGTGGGCTTGTCCGAAGGAGGGCCAGCTGTACGGAGCTCAGCTGTACCACCCATCCCTCTGTTGGTGGCTGCAGCCATCCCTAACTGGCTGTCCCATCCCCAGACTGAGACTGACCTCGCAGACCTGGCCATTGGCCATGACAGCGATGCAGTGGGCTGCACGAACAGTGCTGAGTCGGTGGGCGATGACCAGCACAGTGCGGCCAGCACTGGCCTGGTCCAGGGCCTCCTGCACCACTCGCTCAGACTCTGAGTCCAGGGCGCTGGTGGCCTCGTCCAGGATCAGCACAGTGGGTTGTTTGATGAGTGCCCGGGCGATGGCTAGGCGCTGCTTCTGGCCACCAGACAGGGTTGTGCCTCGCTCACCTGCGGAGGCAGAGTGGGGCAGCGGCCCAAAGTGATCCTCAGTAATGCATTTGGGGTAGCTGGCAGAGGGGCGCTGAGTCCCTTCTGTTCCCCAAGTCCCCCACCTGTTAGCCCCTCAGGGTCCCCAGTGGTGGTCCTGCCTCTCTGATGGTGGGGTGACATCTGTCAGCTCCACAGTCCCACAATCCCATGCAAATGAGTGCACACACAGACTATGATGAGTGGGGTGTGGGGAGCAGTCACCAAATGCACTTCCTGCACTTGGCAGGGCCTCAGGGCCAAGTGGGCTGCTGTGGCCATGATCTGATGCCCAAACATGGTTCTGGAGTAAGGAGACTCCAGGCACAGGGGATTCAAAGCCTAAGAGGATAGCAGAAGTGACAGCCTGGGAGCCAGAAAGAATCTCAAGGAACTGCAAGATGGCAGCAGGGTCCCAGGTCAGTGATGCAGATACCCTGAGAAGCCCCAATGCACAGAGCATGCTAGAATCTGAGGAACAAGGAAAATGCTACCCAAGAGAGACATTGGGACTCCCCCTGCCAGGAGACAGGCCGCAGCCTGGAAGACTGGGGCTGTGCCCGACTAGAAAGGGCTGAGAACCCCGATGTTCCTGTCCTGAGAGACAGCGGAAGTCCTGCAATGCAGCCAAGACACTTTAAATATGGCCTGATACTGAGACAAGGAATGCTCAAGACAAACACCCAAGCTGCATGCTGCAGTGTGCATGCTCTAGGGGCCACTGTGCATCCCTATGACCCTGTGACACTGCGTGACACCTTTAAAGAAATAAGAGAACCTGGGCCAGGGATTTAGCTTAGTAGCACTGTGCCTGTCTCAAAAGCGCAAGGTTCTGAGTTCAATCCCCAGTACCAGAAAAAAAAAAAAAAAAAAAAAGAGAGAGAGAGGAGAGAACCTAAGAAATTGGAGTCAAGTGGGGAAAGTTACAAGGAGACTTCCTCATCCTCCAGCCCTTGGGCCTGGCAGGCTCTAAGAAGGTTCTGTATCCCAGGACTCACTTGTGTCTGTGTCTGGGGTCCTATCATCTCACCCCTGTCACAGAAGCCCCACCTGTATCTGCTGCCTATGTGGTCGGCTGTGCTTGAGCCACAGGCACTGTACCTCATCTGTGTCTGGTCTCTCTTCCCTGCCAGACCCTCAGTCCTGCAGAAGCCCCCTGCCCAGAGGACGCTGTCTCCTGTACCGTACTACCCAGGGCCTGTGACCCTGTGACGTACCCACGATGGTGTTGTAGCCATCAGGGAAGCTGCAGATGAACTCGTGGGCATTGGCCTCCCGTGCAGCTGCGTACACCTCTTCATCAGAAGCTTCCACTTTCCCGAAGCGGATGTTCTCCATGATGGTTGTTCCAAACAAGACTGGCTCCTGGGGTGGACACAGATATGGGGTCCACAGGTAATATTCCGGCTCCGCCCAAGTGCCACCTGCATCAGGACTCTTTTTTGTTTTTGTTTTTTTGAGACAGGATCTCACTCAAAAGTTCAAAGCTGTCTTTGAACTCACTGTGTATGTAGCCCAGGCTGGCCTGGAATTCAAAACAATTCTGCTTGAGCCTCTTTAGTGCTGGGATCATAGGCATGTACCACCAGCCCCAGCTAGGAGCCTGTTTTGACTGGATCCTTGCTGGGGATCTTAGGGAGCCTTAAGTTCAAACTCAAAGGTCAGGCAAGTCCCAGCATGATGGTGCATGCCTGTCATCTCAGAACTCAAGAGGCTGAGGCAGGTGGATTGCCATGACCGGGCGGCTCCATATTAAATTTAAGGCTATCCTGAACTAGTGAGACCCTGTCTCAAAAAAAAAATACGCTTCTCCCACGTGTCAGTGGGGTGTGGCTCTATTCCCCAGCCTGCATAGGAAGACTGGCTGCTCACTGGGCTTAGTGGGTGGGGACACCCAGCTGGGGACAGGGGCACTTTGGACCAGAGCAAGGCCAGGAAGCGTGGAGGTGGATTGAGCCTTCCCACAGGGAGCCATGGGATGGTGAGGTGGAGACCAGGAAGGAGGTCGAGGGGAGGAGGAAGGGAAGGGTAGAGCCTAGCCATGCCACTCGGGCCATGCCAGCCTCAGATCACACCTGGCTGATGAAGCCGATGACCTGGCCCCGGAGCCAGGAAGGGTCAAGTGTGCGCAGGTCATGCCCGTCTAATGTCACCACGCCAGCCGTGGGGTCATAGAAGCGTTCTAGCAAGGAAGCCACCGTAGTCTTTCCTGGGGGTGAGGGTGTTTGGGCAGGAATGAGGTGATCATGTGGACTGTCCCAGGAAAGGGGATCCTGTGGTAGTGAGCACAGCCCGGGGAGGGGCAGAGGGCCACTGGGAGCTGGGCTCACTGGGGATAGGGCGGGGACTCCCTTACCTCCCCCAGACTGGCCGACGAGGGCCACGATCTTGCCAGGGGGCAGCATCAGGGTGAAGTCCTTCAGCACCTCAAAGCCGGGGCGGCATGGGTAGCTGGAGGTTGAGGGAGCCCGGGTCAGGGCAGGCTCCCAGGCTTCACGGCCCCGCACCCTTCTGTACCTCCTTGTGCCCCTCCAAGGAGGCCTGGCTACAGGGATGTCTGGCCAGACCTCTGACCACTCCCCTTCAATACTGCCCTGCCTGCTGATGCTGACCTGAAGCTGACGTCCTGGAAAGTGACAGAGCCGTGAAGCTGCTCCCTGGGGAGGCTGTGGCCTCCTGACAGTGGGATGTGGGGACTCAAGGCCATGTATTCGAAGACACGGGCACCCGCACTGAGGCCCCGCACCACCTGTAGGGGAATCCAGAGTCTGCGTGAGATAGGATGGCGGCACCTCCGTGGGGTCAGGCTGTGATTTTGGGAGCTCCAGAACCTCACATGCAGCCGTTGGCCGTGCTAAGGCAGCACACAGGACCCTACACTGAATGGAACCCCAGCACCCACACTGGGACACCCCCACTCACCTGACCAAACAGAACAGAGAGGTTGGCCATAGACCTGTGAGGAGAGAGGGTCGGAAGAGGTGGTGACAAGAGCCAGAGAGGAAGGACACAGTGAGGGATGCAAGGGAATGAGGGACCCGAGGCCAAGAGCAGAGACAGCTCCCTAGACCTGGGACTGAAGGAACCTGGGACCTTGGGACACAAGTTCAATGAACCGTAGCCCCCTCCTTGGCTGTGTGAAGTGACAATTGTCTGGGTAAGACTGTGACTCATCCCAGGACCCAGGAGGGGTCTTCAGGAGGCAGTGGGCATGGGATGAGGGCCTGGGGGCACAGATATCCATGTGCCACCCTGATGCCAGTGCAGGGTGAAGTGGCTCACAGTACGAGGGATGATACCCTGCTCACCCAGGACCCCCGGCCTCAGACCCAGTGACAACACAGATGCTCTTGGCAGAGATCCAGGTGATGTAGCCTACAGTGGGAGGTGAGACCCGAGACCCCATAGAGATGGGGCTGATGTGCCTTGCAGAAAACAAAGAAACAAAAAGAAAGTAAAGTCTGTTTAGAGAAAGAAAACAAAAGACAGAGTCACAGGGGAGAACTCTGGGGAGACCCCAAAACAAAACTCCCGACCAAATGTGTACTGTGGGTTGGCCTGCAGGTGCTCAAGTGTGGGAGATGGATGTGTGTTTATCTGTCTAGACAGTGGGTCACCTCCTTTGTCCTGGCAGGGCTGGGGATAGGGCCGGTGTGCTAGGGAGGAAGATGAGTCAACGGCCAATTACTCATGGGTCCCCGACTGGCCCGCTGCTGACCCGTGACCATGACCATGTGTGTACCATGGAGTAAGCAGGGTCTGCTCCAAGAAGAGGAAAGGCTGACTCCCCAGCAACTCAGGCCAAGGGACTCACTTCTTCCAGTGTGGGGGCAGGGAGGATCCCTAGAGCTCACAGGAAGTTGTGCTGGCAGGAAGCAATCTGCACTTGTCGAGGAAGAGCAGGGAGGACAGGGCAGGGAGGGACCCAGAATTATCCATGTGGGTGGGGTGGGGGTGGGGGTGGGACAGCTCTGCTGAGATCTGGAAGCCATTAGGGCCTGGCAAAGGGGCTGCCACTGAAACCCAAGACACACATGACTCATTGCTGCTGCAGGATGACCTTGCTTTCAGAGATACCGCAAGATTCGGGCTGTGTCCTGCCCAGGTGGGGCTTGGCCCCAGCTCTGCCAAAAGGGCACTTGGGACAGGCACAAAGGTTGGGGCTGCCCTGGTGTGCCCATGTCCCCCTGGACTGATATACGTGCCCCTGGCTGCACTTATGACCAGAAGGAAACAGCAGCTCCCTGATTCCTGCAGGTGCCTGGTGGGGCCTAGGTGCTACTGCAGCTAGAACCCAATCCTGCTAAACAGCTGAGCAACACAGTCTGTCCTCAGGCTAGAGAGGGGACAGGGGCTTAGGGATTAGGCCCAGGGCTGGTTTTAAGGGGGCTGGAAGATTTCTTGGAGGTCCTCAGGACTAGAAACATCATCCTGCTTCGGGAGGCCAAGTGTAGTTGGTCAGGAAACTGGGTCAGCGCTGGGGGGGTGCCAGCACAGCCCCAACTCTCCTGTGATCAGACCTCTCCCCAGGGAACAGTTCCCGGGCAGGAGGAGAGAGGAGCCACCCATAACAAGAGGCTTCAAGCACGAACAGTGGTGTGTTGGGGGGCAGGGCAGGGGCAGCGATTGTGCAGCCACAGAGATGGAGCTGATGTGCCTTACAGGACACTGCATGGGTCAAGAAGGGGTTCGTCTGTCTGGGGTGGTAACAGAAATCTGTCTCCCGCTCCTCTGGGTTAGCACAATAAGCCTGTAGGATTCTTTAAAAAAAACACAAGCCAGGTGTGGTGGTGCATGCCTGTCATCCTAGTACTCGGGAGGCTGAGGCAGGAGGATTGACGCAGGTTCAAGGCCAGGCTGGGCTACATAGTGGGACTCATCTCAAAAAACCTCCCCCAAATACCACAGACATACAGCAGTGGCAAGATGGGACTCTGGGGAAGAGATGGGTACCCAGGATCACAAGTGTCATCTCCAGAGGAAGGGTGGGTACCAACTGGGGAGGGACCTGGGGAGGGAGCCACCTGGGGTGACTTTTATTTGTTGACTTGGCTGCTGGCAACACAGTTTTCACTCTAATCACTTATTATAGCACAGTCACTCTTTAGTTATTTTGCCAAGCTTGTATTTACGTATTATTCTCGCAAGTGTGGGGAAGGGCCGAGTGGGAAATGGCAGTAGGGTGGGACTAGCAGGGGAGGGGGCCACTTCCCATCCCAGGAAGTGGTCAGGCAGAGGACAGGGCAGCCCTTAAAGTGCTCATCACACACTGAGAGCATCGCTGGGCCTTCAAAGGACAGAGAGACTAGTTGAGGCCCCTGGCCCCAAGAGGACAAATGGTGTGTGACGGCACTGCTGTGGTCCCCACCAGAGTAGAAAGAATCAGAGTCAGAGAGATCAAGAGGACAAGGCAGTGCCCGGGATGCAGAAGGAAGGCCAGGTCAGTGTTCAGTGGGTGCTGGCTCACTTTTGCAGGAGGACGGTACTGGTGATGGCTACGTGACACTGTCAGCCTGTTTGACATGACTGAACTATGTGCTTAAAATTGTCAGGAGGGTAAGGTTAACCTGATGGAGACTTAACATAGTCAAAAATTTTAAAATGGGTTCGGTGGTGCATGCCTCAGGAGGCTGAGGCAGGAAGGTCACCATGAGTTCAAGACCAGCCTGGTCTACAGAGTGAGTTCAAGGTCAGCCTGGTCTATATTAGTGAGATTTGGTCTCAAAAAACCAAAACCAAACAAACAAACAAAAAAGGCCAGGCTGGGCATAGTGGCGCATGCCTGTAATCCCAGCACTGGAAAGGCTGAGGCAGGAGGATTTGTGAGTTCCAGGTCAGCCTCAACTACATAGTGAGACCCTGCCTCAAAAAAAAAAAAAGCTTGACAAGGACACCTGTGACTGTGTAGAAGGCTAGGACACCAACTGCATCTTGAGTGTAGAGCCAGTGAACCAGCCTGGGACTCCTTCTAGGGGTCTGGCAGCTCTCCAGAGCATGAGAGTACCCTTGTCCTGCCCAGGCAGGGCTCTGAAGGGGCAGGAATAGCCCCAACTCACCTCTGCACTGTCTGGGAAGCCACCAGGAAGGACATGAGGTCTCCCCCTGTCAGCTGCTGTCCAGCCACCAGGGAGCCCCCAACAAACAGGGTGCCCAGGACCATGCCTGTGGAGAAGGACAGGAGGTGAGGAAGGATGAGCTGAGGGGGCCGGGACAAGCCCTGCCCTGTGTGTCCTGAGTCTTAGCCCTACTGTGTCATCAGCAGATGGGAATCTGGCGAGAGCCTGAGTGCTCATCTGTAGAGGAGGCAGGGCTCACCTCCCAGTCCTCCTAGGTGGCCCTGCAGACCCTACCGCAGCTCCAGGTGACTGCCCACTGCTCTCCCGTGGGCACCTGGCAAACGAAGGTGCCTGACCACCCGAGGGACAGGGCAGGCGATGCTGCTGTTGCTGCGCTTGCTCCTCCCTGGTACAGCCCCGTATCCCCTCCCCAGTGGGGACCTGCGTGCTCACTCACAGTTGAAGGCAATGTTTGAAAGGCCCTGGAACAAGGCGATGCCCCTGCCCAGCTCCTCTGCCTTAGAGTGACACCGCTCCAGCTCAGCTCTGTAGCGTCTGGGGAGAGAGGCCGGGCAGGAGCTCAGGATGCAGCGGGCAGGGGTGTGGGGCTGGGAAGCTATGTGACAGTCACATCGGTCACCACCCTGAGCTCCAGCCTCCCGGCACTTACTCCTCTTCCCGTTGCTCCATGGCGAAGGCGCGTACTGTTCGGACATTGCCCAGGGCCTCATCTGCTACACCTGTGGCTCTGGCAACCTGTGTGGAGTTCGCAAAACAGGAAGCTGAGTTTGGTGATGCGGGGACTGATGGGGACAGCAGGCGGGGGAAGGGTGGCCGGGTATTCTGTACCTGTTCCTGACACAGGCGGGACAACTTTCGGAGACCTGAGCCCATCAGGGTGCCGACTCCCATCAGGGCAGGCGTGGCAATCAGTAGTAGCAGCGTGAGGCGAGGGGACAGCATGGACAGGGACACCAGGCAGCCAGCCACCTGGGTACAACTGCGCAGCCCCTGGGCAGGGGAAGGAAGCCAGGAGATGTCTGGCATCATTGCTATGGCCAGGCCCTGCCTCGGGTACGCCAAGTGGCAGTCACTGATCACTGAGTGGGACCCTTTCGGACCAGCTGCAGTCCACTGAGCGACCTTGCCTGCTTCACTGATTTAGATCAGAACCAAGAGATGTGCATGGGGATGCCACCCATGGGCTGCCATAAGCCCATGTCCAGCACAATCCAGGGCCACATGGTGATGCGGTAAGGGGAGGGCATCGGTGTGCTCGAGTTCAGGGCAGGACAGCAATCAGCACTCTGGTGACAGGGCAGGTGACTCTGGCCTGCGTCCCAGGGAGGCTTCCACATGGGACAGGGAGCTTTCCTGACTCTGGCTACGCTTGCCTCAGTACCTCTCTTTCATGGATCAGACAGCCATATCCCCTCACACATCCTCTGCAGACAGCAGGAGCCCGGGCTCTAGGCCTGGTGTCAGGCTGGGCCTGGCAAGAAAGGGAGCACAGGGACACTGACCTGGGAGATGACAAGCTTGAAGGATGACTTAAACTCCTGCACATCAGTCGTCAGGCGGCTCACCAGCTGCCCTGTCCTCTTGGCATCAAAGAAAGCAATGTCTTGTCTGGTGAGGGGACATGGGGTGGCAGATGGCAGGAGAGAGGAGACATCACTTCAGGACTCATCAGATCCTGCACCCTCCCGGGGCCATCAGTCACCCCTGCCTGTACCCTGCAGAGGGCAGTACCGGAGCAGGGAGCTGAAGAGGGCCCTGCGCATGTCCACAGCCATGCGCTCGCCAATGTGAGACAGCAGCACCAGGTACCCGAAGGTCAGCAGTCCCTGCAAGAGAGGCCGAGCATTCAGGGACACCTGGAAGGCTCCTCAGTACCAGGGGCTCCCACCCTGCTATATACCTGGATGCCATAGAGGAGGAGCAGGTGGGTGCTGAGGTTCCGGGACTCAGACACGAAGCTCCCTACATGGTCCCTGGTGTACTTGGCCACAACCTCAACCAGCTGGCCAAGGAGCAGAGGGATCTGGACATTCACCAGGGCTGCACCCAGTGCCAGCTGGAGCAGGGAGGACAGAGGGGACAGATGCTTGGAAAAGGGCAGCCACACTCTTCCCCTCCCACAGTTGAGCAAAGCTCAGTAGTGGCCACAGGTGGGCTGCTCTTATGGATGAGACTTAAAATTCAGGCTTCTGGCTGCCCTGATCCCTGTGCAGGTCCTCCTGGTGCCCTCTGCCCCTGGATCCCCAGGCCAGGCCCTGCTGCTTCTGTGAAGCAGAAGTGCTGTCCCTGTGCAGCCACATCCTCACTTGTCACTAGGATGGAGGAGTGGGAAAAGCCTCACCACAATGGCGGCTCCCAGGAGCAGCAGGTGGGGGTGTAAGAACTTCCAGAAGAGCTTCCAGTTAAACTGAGACTGTGCAACACGGGGTACAGGGTGGGCATGAGGGGCCTCTTGTGCCTCACACAGTGCCCTCAGGTAGAGGTGAGGACACTTGTACAGCACCGTGGGTCCCAGAAGGGCTCCCCCAACCCAGCACCAGGCAGAGGGGCTCTGGCTGGGAGCTGTGGCTGGTGGGGCTCGAGGGAGGTGGACCCGGAGCTGTGACCGAAGCTGGGCCACAGTCTTGAGCAGGCAGGAGCTGAGGTGGCCATCTGGGGACCTGTAGGGAGAGAAGGGACAATGGATGAGGTCTAGCTGTCCTTCAACTGACCAACAAAGCATTTCCTCTTCCTTCAGGCCCTCAACCCTGTCTTCCTTAGAGCTGTTCTTTTTTTTTTTTCCTTTTTGAGACAGGGTCTTGCTATGTAGTTTGGGCTGGCCTTCAACTAACTGTATAACCCAGTCTGGCTTTGAGTTCATTCATGGTGATCTTCCTGCCTCAGCCTCCCAAGTGTTGAGATCACGGGTGTGTGCCACCATGCCTGGTGTTATGACTTATATCTAGATGTCCCCCTAAAGTTTCATGGGCTCATAGGTGAGACCTTTAGAAGGTGACTGGATTACAGGGGTTTACAGCTGACTTGCCGTTAGGAGGTCACTGTGGGCATGACTGGAAGGTTTCATCTTCCTGACTCTTCTGCTTTCTGGATGCCATGAAATGAGCAGCTTTCCTCCACCCAGGCCCTTCCACCAAGCCTTCCTGCCTTGGAGACAACCATTATCGACTAAAAACGTGAGCCAAATAAAACTTTCCTAGCCAGGCATGGCGGTGCACGCCTGTAATCCCAGCACTCGAGAGTCTGAGGTAGGAGGATGGATGAAAGTTTGAGGCCAGCCTGGGGTATATGGTGAGTTCAAGGTCAGCCTAAAAACAAAAAACAAAACAAAACAAAAAAAACCAAATAAACAAAAAAACCTCTCCTCCTTTAAATTGTGGGTCTTGGGTATTTTGTCCCAGTGGTGAGGGAAGTAATTAAAACACCTGTTTTTGTTTTTTTTTTTCTTTTCAGTACTGAGGATTGAACCTAGGACCCTGACACTGAGTTACATCCTCAGCCCTTTTTTATTTTTAATTTTGAGACAGGGTCTCACTCATTAAACTGCCCAGATTGGGCTTGAACTTGTGATCCTACTGCTTCAGCCTCCTGAGTACTGGTATTACAGGTGTATACCACTATGCCCAGCAAGGCCTAGGATGCAAGAGTAGGACACATGAGGTTTGGTGAGGGGCAGTCATTCCTATCTCTAAAAGCACCTGGATGTCGGAGAGTGAGTAGGAGGGTTCCTCAGGACTATCCTGGTTTTAGGCTTCTGTGTGATAAGAGATTTATAGTTTAAAGACCACAACAGAAGTGGGTGGGCTGGAGCAGGATGAGCCAGGCGGGAGAAAGCAGGTTAGAAACAGATGTTAGCTAGCCAAGAGGGCATGGTCAAATGCACAAAGATCCAAGAGACTAGGAACAGGGAAAGGCTTTTTAAAAAGCAGTGTGAGGTTTTCTTTACCACCACTGTCTTTATATTCCCACGCCCTTCTAATTACAAACTTCATCTTATCCTCCCTTGCTTTCAGAGAGGCCTATGCTTCTTGCTACCTCTGTACGATGCCTCCCCTTCACCCCATTCCACCTGCCTTGTTTTTATGTCTTGCTTTACAGCATGTTTTATCACTTTCTTAATGTTATCCATAGGGAATCTCACTCTCCTCCTTTCCTGTATAATTGTTCTGTTTTTCCAATTAGACTCTATCTTCTCAAAAGCACAGGAAGCTACATTTTATGTCCGAACACTCAGCAAAGCTCTGGTACATAATAGATGGTGAGCACATGCTTGTTTATTGAATGCAAGTCCTTAGAAGAGATGGCAAACAGTCTAATGTGACTACCTATAGTACTTTGCAAAAGTTTGGAATTAACTTGGCCAATATTTTACACTGCAATCCTGTGCACTATCCCAATACAACCCAGGACAACAAAATGGAAAGGTTTCACAAAATAAAACTTTCCTTGATTTTTAAACATATATTCTTTCTGGGCGTGGTAGTGCACGCCTGTAATCTCAGCACTCGGGAGGCTGAGGGAGGAGGATTGCTGTGAGTTTGAGACCAGCCTGGGCTACATAGTGAGTTTCAGGTCAGTCTCAACTACAGAGTGAGACCCTGTCTCAAAAAACCAAAACCAAAACCAAAACCAAAACAAAACCCCAAAACATATATTCTGATATTTCTACTCATCTCACGGTCCACTGAAAAACATGGACTAGTGAATGCACATACACTTGGATGTTATGTCTTTTCTTGGGTTTTTTTCTCGTTCAAATAATGTCAACACCTTTATTATTCTTTCCTAAAGACTGTTTTCAAATCGTTTAATAATCTACCAAAGCCACTTTCCAGTTTCTCTCATCTCCAAACTAAGCTTTAAGAAGGGCTTGATGATTGCCAAGAAGTGATGGATTATTTCCCAGCACCAGTATTTCCAGCTCTAGCCTGACCCAGCCCTGCCCTCCTCCAACAATTAGACAACTTTCCAAGGGACACAGCTTTGCAGCCACCCACCCTTTGCCACAGTCCTGTTTTGACCTCAGCTTATTCCCTGCAGGATTAGAAGGGAATTGGTTCCATCTCACAAAGCACTGACATTTATTTATTTTTTTATTTTATTTTATTTTTCAGACAAGGTCTCACTATGTAGTTGAGACTGACCTGGAACTCACTTTGTAGCCCAGGCTGGTCTCAAACTCACAGCGATCCTCCTGCCTCAGCCTCCTGAGTGCTGGGATTACAGGCACCATTACAGTGCATCACCACACCCGGCAGCATTGACATTTAAAATGTAGTTTCCAAATCCTTGTTTCTCACCTTTTCCTCTCTCTGGACCAACGGGAGCAGAGTGTTTTGCCAAGCACGAATTATAATTGATTATTATACCCAGCTGAAAATCTCTAGCTCCAGGAACTACTTTTTTTCCTTTTTGGTTATAGGGGATTGAATTCAAGTCCTTCCCACGGAGCTTCATCCCGCCAATTTCTTTGCTTTCTTTTTTTCAAGGTCTGTCAGCCAGTTGTGGTGGTGCACACCTGTAATCCTAGTACTGTGGAAGGCTGAGACAAGAGGACTGCAAATTTGGGCTGGTGCAATTTAGAGACCCTGTTAAAAATGAAAAAAAAAAAAAAAAAAAAACGCTAGGGAGCAAAAGCCCTGGATTCACTCTCCCATACCAAACAAAATAAACAAATAAAAATCTCCTCAAGATAGGGTTTGCTAAGTCGCTAAATTGCCCAGGATGGGTTCGAACTTGAGATTCTCCGCTGGGGTTACAGGAGTGCATCACCACACCTGGATCAGGAATCACTTTTGATGGGCTCACTTTATGAGTCATGGAAGCACTACCAATACTAAATGTCTCTTGATACCAGATCAATTCCAACATAGAGGAAGGGGCCCGAGGATCCTGCCCCCTAGAGGGCAGAGCGGACTGGAAGTGGCTATCGATTTTGAGGACTGTTCAATCCGACTCGCAGAGGCGGACGCACAGAGCCTTTTATTGCCATTTTGACCGTCGCTATGAATAATTGAGGCCAACGCCCAAGGAGTGACATTCCACCCCTGGCCCGGCTAGCACACAGTTCCCAGGAGGCCTTGCGCGAGCTCGGGACTCCATTTCCCGGCGAGACCCGCGCATTGCCCACTTGTCAATGGCCAGGGCTACGGAAACTATCCTTTTTTACCTGACGGCCGAGAATGTCTGGAGCCGACGAGAAAATAGGGACCCTCCTGGGACAGGGCTTCCCCTAATCCCGGCCCGAAAAAAGTGCACCAGCATGCTGGGACGGGTAGACAGGCGCAGCCGGCAACAACAGCTTCACCTTCATCCCTCCGAAGGCTCCATGTTGGCTTCGCCCCGTATCCCGACAACCCCGTCACATCTCAGCGATGATTGGTGGAAAGACACATCAATCTCATTGCAAGCTGTGATTGGAGATTTTTTCCATTCTCCCCCCCCACTCCCGCTTTCCGGAACTATGATTGGAGAGTGTTGCCTATCCACCCACCCCCGGCTTTGGACTGGGCTGAGTAGGGACCGGGTCTTCCTTAGGATTTGTGATTTAGTAACTCAGGTCTCGGTGGCGCTTTGAGGGTGTGCACAGCTGTTTGCTCCACCCTCGAGTGTTCCTAGTAACGCTTTAGCGCTGATCTAGGGTCATTTTTCTAAAGATAACTCCCGACAGTCTCTAGAAGTGCTGGGGCTTCCGGGAAGTGTAGAGCGTTGGCTCCGAGTGACGAATGAGCAATATCCTCCGGGGAGTTAAAACAAATCCAAGTTCCTTACCACCTACCCTGTTCACATAGGCATGTCATAACTCCTGGACGGTAACTGCATTTGCGGAAAAATTCTTCAGGAGATCCTGATGCTGACGCCCTACTCAAACCACGCCTCCCCTCTCTTACTGGAGATCGAGCCCGCAGAGCGCTGAGTTACATCTCCAGCCCTTTTTACTTATCATTTTTTTTAATTTTAAAATTTTGAGACAGGGATTCCCTAAGTTACCTAGGATGGCATGGAATTAGTGATCCTCCTACCTCAGGTTTCCGGTTAGGTGGGTTTGCAGGCGTTCGCCGCCTTCTCAGGGACACCCTCAATAAATGTTATTATGTAGCATTTAATACACCCTACTCAATTATTAAATAACTGGTGTTTATCAAGACACGGTCTTAGATTTATCTCTCTGACATGTACCTTTGTCACGGTGGCCTGAATGACCTGCCTGAGGGTCCCTTCATATTTTAAACAGCGCTTGCATTCTTGTTCAGCGTTTATTTTTATATTTTTATAATAAAAAATTACTTGTTTGCATATCTGCCTCACCCACTGGGCTGTCACTTCGTGGTGGGTAATGGTTTTGCCTCATTCATCCTGTTCTTCTCCCCAAAAGTCTGGCGGGAAAAAGTGCCCTTTGTAATAAACTGACTTGAATTGAGGGTGTGGTAGGGAGGCTGTCAATGGAAGAATCAGCTGAGATGAGCCTGAGGAACTCAGGGTGCACAGGGAGGGGCCCTGGAGTGTTTGTGATGGAATATTCATGGAACTGAGTGTTGACAAAGACTACACAAAAACACTCATAAGCCATCTTGACATGTCTCAGAAAGATCATGGGAATTCCCTTGGTTCCCCTACAAATTTGAGATTCCATTTTGCCACCTATAGAAGGGTGGGTCTCATTTTCATAGCTCTGCCTCCTCCTGCTCATCCATAAAGGTATGCAAGTCTGAGCTACTGGAACAGTTCTCCTCTCAGAAAAGAGACAAAGCAGGAGAAAAGCAATTTATGGATTCAGTTTATGGACAATTCTATGATTGCTGCCACATTCCTCCAGTAAACAATTTAGGAAGCACTGTGTTCCTTTGCATTTCACAGGTGCTGGCCCCTACATCAGCCCTTAGGCCTACACCTGGAGGCCCTGGCACCTGCTGGCTGAGTCATTATCTCAGTCATGGTCTTCAGCAGGGCACCTGTGATTCAGGGCCTCAAGAATGGCGTTGGGCAAGCCACTCGACCAGCTGTCTGGGTCTCCTCCTCCTTGTTGAGGTGACAACAGGAAACTTAACTCTGGCAGCTAGTCCCCAAGTACCCAATTTATCCTTCCACATCTTGGACCCCTGCTGGCTGCTCTCTCTGCTGGTCCAGACTGGATGATTTTCAGGGGCTGGAAGAAACTGGATCAGGACTTGAAATAGAAGGCATCAAATTTCGGGAAGGTAAGGAGGAAAACATAATGGAATTCCAAGGAACCCGACTGTTCTACTTTAAACTCTCCAAACTGCTTTTTATATCCAAGATAGCTGCCTTTTCTTCCTTCACAGTTTTGCCTGGTGTCCCCTATTTGGCTGCAAAGTCAGGTAAAGTTAGTCTTCCCTTCCTTAGCACCCTCAGATGAATAAAATATTCAACTCTCTTTCTCTCTAAACCCCAGCTCCCTTTCTGTGCTATACTGATGACTGATCCCAAGAGTGCTCTTCCACTGAGCTCCATCCCCAACCTTCCTTTTTTATTTTTTACTTGGAGATAAGGTCTCACTAAATTCCCCAGTCTGGCCTTGAACTTGTGATCCTCAGCCTCAGCCTCCCAAGAAGATGGGATTCAATCGTGTGCCACCACACCCAACTCAGCCTTTTCTTGTTTCTTTTCTTTCCTTTCTTTTCCTTCTGTGGTAAAGGGTATTGGACCCAGGTCCTTTGCATTGAGTGAGCTACACCCTCAGCCCTTTTTGTATTTTATTTTGAGACAAGATATCACTAAATTGCTAAATTGCCTGCTCAGGGCTAGAATTTGTAATCCTCTTGCCTCAGCATCTCAGATTGCTAGGATTACAGGCACGTACCACTATCCCTGGCTTTTGTCTCATTTTTGAAAGCGTTTCCTTGTTGATCACTAGATGTGAGTGTGGAAGGAGGAGAAATAAGATTTTTTTCATTTCATTTCATTTTATTTTTTGAGACAAGGTCTTGCTATATAGTTCAGGTGAGGCTTGGAACTCACTGTGTAGCCCAGGCTGGCCTTGAACTTGGTGCAATCCTCCTGCCCTAGCCTTTCAAAGTTTGGGGTTATAGACTGTGCCACCATGCCCAGTTTAAAAAGTAAAACATTTAGAGCTGAGTTTGGTGGCATATGCCTGTAATCCCAGTACTTGGGAGCCTAAGGCAGGAGGATCGTTGTGAAATGATGGCCTTGAAAGGCCATCCTGAACTATATAGTGACAGGCTGTCTCAAAAAACAAAACAAAACAAAACAAAATAAAATTCTAGGCTGTGGCTGTACACTTGCCTAGCAGATTTAACACCTCGTCCCCAGGACCCTATCATCCTTGAATGGGATTTTGCTGGTTTATTTTGGCTGCCACACTCTGTATCTGCAGTCCCCTCAAGGTCTGAAGATGTCCCAGTGAACCCTTCAGCCCCGCCCTCCCAGCTTGCACCCCTCCCAGGCATGGAGGCTGAGCCCAAGACAGGGTTGGCCCCAGGATGCCCTGCCTGAGCTGTGGGTGATCATACAGGTGATCTGAGAGCTGGGACGCCTGAGGCCTGCCTAGCCTGAGTCACCTGGTAGTGTTATTGTCATTGTCCTTGCTGAAGTCACCACTCAACTTCACAGACCTCTGTGTGAGCAGCAGTAGAGCCATCTTTCTAACTTCTTCAGAGAAGCTACAGCCGGATGGTGAGACGAATGGGCTGGGGGGGGAGC